AGAATCCTAATTATACCACGACTTTTAATTTTTCTTTTCTTTAATATATAGTAATTTCTATTAATGATTATCACGATCAGCAATTGGCATCGATACACATTATTCAAGTATATGAAAAATATCCTCCTAAAAGCATTAACAATGCGTTTTGTTTCCTCGCGTTAATATTATAATAATTATATATGTATGTATGTGTATATATATATATATATATGTATGTATGTATGTATATCGTATGTGATAAATACAAAGTTCTCGATGAAAATATCGAGAGACCGGATCGGTAAAAACGATCGGAATTACGCATAGCTTCTTACTTCTCTGTTGCAGCGAGCAAACATGTAGACAAAAATATACTTATATATGTATATATACTTATGTATTTTTTTTCTTTTTTTCGTAATTTTATTTGCACGGAGAAGCGAAGACTTTCAATCGTTTTTCGGAACGGATTTTTTCTTTTCGATTTACTTCTATTTTGCTTGTAAAATCTACAATGTATTTTCTTCGTTTATATTTGAGCGAAAAACTTCTCTTTACGAGCATTGCATTCATTCACGAATACGACTTTCTTGCGCTTTGCAAGAACTGGAATGTCCTCGAGTGGTAGGGCGCGAATCTTTCGAAATACGCATATACTCAGTCGAAATATTTACCTATCTCGATATTATCCTATCGTACTTCGCGTGACGAGGAATTATTTTAATATTTCCGCCCTATCGAAACAAGGACCGAAATACTTTATTCGAGACAAGGATTATAGAATAATAATAATACCGTGAAAGATCGAATCGAAACTCCAAAGATGCTTAATGCAATCGATCAAAAATCCTCCAATTATCATCCATCCCTAATCTATCTCTTTCTCTTTTAAAATCTCTCCTCACGATCGAATCGACGCGAATATACATACACATATATACGTCGTATAATTGACGCTGGTTCAATTATAAATTGTATCAAGAACGTTTAGAGAACCTTTTCATTAAAGATCCGAATGACGCGCGATATTGGCAACATCGACAGCGTTACACGCTCTATCGAATTTTTTCCCTCTATCTATAAAGAAACAAGTATCGATCCTTCATCCTCACTCGGAAGCGAAGGCGGGGTTATCCCCGCGCTTTTTAAATCGCATTTCTATCACGTATGTATGTACAGGATGTTGAAAAGTGGCAGGACGGATATTTACAAAGTTTCGATCACTCGTATCCTCTCGTTACAATGACGTCTCCATATTCAGATTCGCCCACTTGTTGTTGCTCTCCGCTCTGTAATCTTCCACCCTTCCTGTGAAGCTCCGACGAAAATTCGCGTCGCTCCTCGCCGATCTCGTCCGTCTCTCCGTGAACGAGCGCTGCAATTCGTCTCCCTTGGACTCGTCCTCCCCTCCTTTCTCCCCGCTCGATCCCCCCTCGTAGGGGGGGAAGGACGCGCCGTGGCGGTAGGCACGAGTTTGGCTCTGCTTGAGCCGTATGGCGTCCACCGCGTCCGTGGACGCCGAGAAGGCGTACGGGTAGGGATGCTGGCGGTCGGGCGGGCAGGAGAAGGAGGGCGGGCAAGAAGTGTCCGAGTAACGGCACTCCCGGCGGCGAGACGATCTTCGATCGAGAGATCGAAGCCCGAGCTGGCCGAGGACCGTCTGATTGGCCGCCTCCTCGGTCGGTGTGGTCGAGTCCACTTCCTGCCGCGTCCGAACCACGTCCTTCCCCCCGAAGGGATCGCCGGGGCAGACCTCTTGTATCGGGCTCGCGAATATCAGTGTTCTGAATCCGAAACAAATCAGACAATCGTCGCTCTTTTCGACCGCGATAAGAAGAAGGAACACTTTGAAAAAGCTTACCTGTTGCTCCCCCCTTCTTTCCACTCTTCGCCCTTCTCGTTCTCCGCAGATTGTTTCCTCCTCCTTCCCCTCCCGTCCAGGCTCTCCCTCGATCTCGAGAACGGATCGAACGATTTCTTCTCCCCGATGTTGGGAAGGGTGCGTGCCGGGGGAGGGCAGCCCTCGTGGTAGGAGGACCGATTCGCCGTACCACGTCTATCCTCGTCCTCCTCCTCTCCGTCGGACAAGTTATGAAGCTCCCTCGCCGTGATCAGGGTGTACCTTCGCTGCCTGTTCTGCTTGAGGATCGACTTGAGACAGAAATACGCGTTCGCGTCTGCCGCGAAACCGTCCCCCTCGTCCGACATGGGATTCGCGATCACCCTGCTCCTCGCCGAGTTGTTGCCTATCCTCTTCGGTATCGCGCCGCTGCTCGCGTCCATCCTCGAAGGCCGGGAGGAGCTCGTCTCGTCGAGGGAGCGAAGGGACGATCGAAACTCTCCTTCCCCCTTCCCCCATCGACCTCACCTTCCGTCCCTCCCTCGACACCACCATTGACCTCCTCCTCCTGCTCGCTCTCCAATATATTTCTCAAACTCTGCCCGTTCAATCTGAGGAACCTCGTGTCGGCCTCCAACGATTCCGATCTCGATCTGAGATTCGGCTCGGACATGTCCCGCGGCATCGTCATCGCCGTCGTCGTAGCCATCATCGACGCTCTCGGCCCCCTTCTCGCACTTTGAAATCCTCTTCTCGAATTCCACGCAACAACTCCCGAAATGCTGCACTCGCTTCTCGACATTTCCGTGGTTTCCAGCTGCGCCTCGACCAAGTATTTCCCGCAACTCGCGCACTTTCCGCTCGCCACCGTTTCTCCGCCCGTCGTGCAACCCGAGGTAGAAGGGGGGAGACCACGCACCTCGGCGCGCAACGCCATCAACGGTTGTCCGGCCGCGAGATCCTCTTCCTCCTCGTGCGCGCTCCTCGTCTCGAGAGCGGTGGCCGCGTGGCAGGGGCAGGAACATTCGAGAATGGACGCGGATCGACGATTCGAATCCTCGTCCGGATCGACGAGGCAGCCTTGGTCCGCTCGTCGATAGAGCAACGCTTCCGAATAACTGGGCACCATCTCGGTTATGGCCTCGTCCTGTTGGCACTCCGTCGTGGGTGGACGGTGATCGGGTGCTGGATCCATGAGAAGCGCCTCGCTGTAACTCGGGGCCAGCATGTAAGAGCCCGGCTGATTGATCGTTTGTTGGCTCATAGATGCGTGTATTGGCTCGCATCCACTCGGTGTGTCGTAGTTGATTCCGAACAGCTTGGTGATCTAATTTCGGTGAGAAAGAAAAAGAGAGAGAAGAGATATTGGGGGGGGATATCGTATTGCGCGTCGATCGATAATATCACCTGATAATCGGCATACTGCGTCTTGTATTCTATGATCACTCTCAACGGCCAGCTGAGCAACAGAGCACTCAGACACCAGTACACGTAGCGATTGGTGAACCAAGGATTGCCGAGGACGGCGACGAGAGTCGTGGGATTCGGATTGTATCCGAGGTCCAGGCCCTCTCTCATCTCCATGTAATCGTCCCTCAATTCCTTGCGAGAGAGAGAGAAGCGGAGAGCACTCGTTATCGTGATCGAAAGGAATTCGCTCGGATAATAAAAAAATTCGATCGATGGATAATGGTCGTACTTGCTCGGCGAAGAATCTCGTTCTGGCCTCCTCGAATTCGGTCGCCGATCTCATGTTCGAGAACGCGAATCCCTTGCTGAGATTGATCTTGGTGATCGGCACTTTTGGATCAAGGATCAACTCCTTGCTGATGTCCTTCACTCCGCAGTAATCATAATAATAAAAGGATGTCGCGGCGTGGGTGTTTATCCTCTCGTAGTAGACCTGGAAGAGAAAACGTTGAAAACGTGAGAAGCGTGGAACGAAGGGAGCACAGATGGGCCATCGCGATCCGATCGCGTCAAACTAAGTTCCTACGAGCTCGAGCAGAAATTACTTGTTCGGAAAGTAATTTCGTTTTTTCGCACGAGTGTCGCTAGTCGAACGTTTATTCAGCCAACTTCATTCCAGAGTAGAAATCATTGGGTTGTTCGGAAAGTAATTTCGTTTCTTCGCACGAGTGTCGCTAGTCGAACGTTTATCCAGCCAACTTCATTTTAGACCGTGTTGTTATATATTTTGAGAATTGGCATTTCATGATTTATGTATAAGAAAAATTCGCTTGATTCTGTACGGTTGTGTTTTTCGTGTGCGACAAAGACAAGATGCAAGACCAAAAGGAGCATTTTCGATATATTTTACTTTTTTATTATGCGTGAAACTACTCGGTGTTTCGTTGTCGTAAAAAAAAACGAAATTATCTCGAAAAATTCAATCTCGTTCGATCGAAAGAAAGAGTGAAGGTAAAGTTGGAAAGAGGGGGGAATGGTCCCATCTTTCCTCTCGATGAATATGGGTCGCGCGAAGCGTATCAACGATTTACTATCCCGCGATTTTCTTTCATCTGGATTACGAGATGTGCGTTGCACGTTGCGCGCTATGCGTTACCTGCGTCGTCGTGTAATTGTCCCCGTTTCTGTACCGGGTAATTTGTCGTTTACGCCGCACGTAATGGTAGGAGACAGCCTTCCACCATATAGTCGGTTGCGCCATTTTCAACTGCGTTATCTTCGACAACACGCTGTCCTGGCTCTCCGCGTGTAACAGATCGATTCTGATCGGCGAGTGATAGCATTCGACCAGATAGACCAGATACAGCATCCCCATGAAAGCCACCTGAAAACCAATCTCCATATCCGTAATTCCTTTCCATAATTTTTAAAATTATGCTACGTATTACGTATAGGTATAAAAAATATTCGTTCTTCGAATTTTTAACGAAGAATTAGAATTAACTTTTAATTTACTTACGGGGATGTATATGTAGCCATCGTCGCAAGGGGATACGTGTCTCGTGCTTTTGATCGGATACCTCGAGAAATTGATTATCACCTACGAACGAATTACCATTCAAGAAATTCTTTTTCTTTTTTTCTTCATTGCGTAGCGAAGAAGTGAGACGTACCTTGGTGACATTCGTGCATCTACACCACGTCACTGCGGCAAGGCATCCGTATATCAACACGGACAGCACCAAACATTTGCAATTCGGTCCTTTTTGCAACACCCCGCAAAGGGTTTGGGAGACTGGTCGCTGCTACACAGACATATATCATCGGTTCAAACAATCTTTCAACGGTTCCTTTCACTTTCGCGGTTATATTTCGATACAACGAGCTTCGATATATAAAAGCTCTGAAAATTGGAATTGAACGTACTTCTTCGTTTTCTCGATTCATCGTTGAAACAATTAAGCCAGGTTACTTTTCGAACGTGTTCTCGGATCAAACTTGAAATCTTCCCATCTCACGAATACTCTTCGATCTCCTCTATTTCCCCGATGTTGTTCTTTCTACTGGAAAAATCGAACTTTTATTCTCATATTTGTAATCCGAAGAAAAGCGAAAATTCGAAATATTAATTTTTTTTTTTCCTTCAAAGGACACGATGTACGATCGATCGGAAGAAAAACTTGCACGCACGGATTCTTTTTCGAGAGAATGTTCGACGAGTGTTTACGACAAGTACGAGTTGAGATTAAAAATTCAGAGAACTCGCTCTTGGCTACTCGAGAGCCAACTGCAAAGTTACACGGCAATCCTAATTACAGCGAAACCCGAGGACCCACCACCACGTTTCTCGTACATTTTCCTTTTTCCACGAGCACGGGAAGAGCGTCGTCATCGTTCCCGCCTTTTAACCCCGAAAGCAGCTCACGCCTAATTACTCCCGTACGATCCATCCTCGATCGTTTCCTTCCCTCGATCGCGTTCGAATCGAACGCAATTTTCCCTCCTAAACCCCAAGAGATTTTTCCTCCCGAATGAAACGATCACACACTCACTCCTCGAGGAAGAACCACTCCTCGCGCAAGGTAACGATGTTTGCCTCGCTGTTAACCGCGCTCAAAGGTTACCAGCCGCTCGAAGAATCGTTTATCCCAAGGCGAGGGAACGGAATCGATCGCGCGTTTTACGATGGGGGGGATTTTTATTATAGTGCAAAAAAGAAATGGGAAGCGAGCTTATCTACTTAACGTACGTTTCTCTCTCGTTCTCGTCTCTCGATTCCTCTTCGACATCCTTCCCGAGTTCCTCGTCTCTCATCGCTCTTTCTCTCTCTCTCTCTCTCTCTTCCTTCCACCGATCCACCACCAATATATCCTCCCCCCTTGACGAAAACACGACGGATCGTCGTATGTCGAAACGTGTGTGTGTATACAATACGATGGAAAGATGATCGAAGGGGTAAAGAGAGAGAAGAGAGAGAGAGAGTGAGAGGCGAAGGATGATGGGGGGAAAAATGGTGGAAAACGGGCGAAACGGAAGTGGAGGAGTGCGGTCGGCGCCGTAGTTTCGGCTGGAACCACCCCGATGCTACCCCTACGGCTAACTGGCACCGTCGTCGATACGCTTTGCTCGCGGCATCTCTACTGACGCGGCGTCTCCCGCCCTCCTCCCCTCCGCGTCGGCGTCGGCGCCCACCGACCTCCCCGCGGCTGCGCTCGCTTCCGCGTTCCTCCAGCGCCCGCCTTTGTCCTTCGTATCCCATTCACCTTCCCGTCCTGTCGTAGCCAGGACGACGATTCCTCCACGCCACGAGTTCGAGTTCTCGAGCAATTGTTGTATTTTTCTTTTTTCTTTTCTGTTTTTTTTGGTTGCTGGACACGATACCCAAAGATCTCGTATAATCCATCGCCACTGTTAACTCGATAACATGTATATTTGTCAACGTGTTATAAAAATTATACATTATACATTCATTCTGCTTGAAACAAGTGTTCTTAATTAAGCTTGTCACCTAATTATAATTAATTCTATAGAAGTTTTTTAATTAAAAAGTTGCTTCATTTTGGGAAGCAAAATATTGCTTAAAATCGGTTTTAGACTTGAAAAATATGTATTTATTTAAAATTTTTTTGGGGGATTTCAGGATTCGTTGGAGGAGGATGGAGGATTTCGCAGGGAGGTTTGGCGCAGGATCGTGAAACGAGATGCGAGGGGGATGTAAGAGGGTTGTAAGGGAGAGGGGGAGAGAGTTCGAAAGTTAGGAGGTTGGAACGGTTTCTCGCTAATGGGACGAGGGGGAGATCGAAGATGGGAAAGTAAAGTAAAGCTTTTAATCTCGGCAGTTTTTACGACGCGAATATTATGATGTGTTCGTGAAAGGAAATACAATTATTAAATACGATCTTAATTGCACGTAAATTTTTCGTAGAAATATACGAAAATAGGAAATTATGAAGATAGAATAGGATGATGAAGAGTTTAAATTTTTGTGATTCCTCTCGCAGGAAAATACGAAAGAAAATACGTATTCCTCTGTCTTTCGATAATTGAACTTATTTTGCCTATTCGATGAATATCGAAGAATATCGAAGAGTTTAAATATGAAGTTTGTCCACTAATGTTTATCTCTGACAAAAAAATATGAAAAAAAAAATCGTGGAAGATATATAAATCTCAATAATTAAACCGTTTATCTATTTAATAAGAGAGAATAAGAAAATTATGAAACTAGAACAGGATATCGAAGAGTTTAAATATAAATTTTATCCGTTGTCTATTTAAAGAGAAAATTTGAAAATTATGAAATTAGAACAGGATATCGAAAAGTTTAAATACAACGTTTGTCTCGTTAATGTTCACAAGGAAGAAAATAAAAAACGAAAAATCGTGGAGATTTGTCCAATTAAATCGTTTCCGATCCCGTTTCGCGCGAGGGGACCGATTCTTTATCGAAATAATCAAAAGGTGAAGTCAAAAAGAAACCTAAACGAAGAAAAACAAATTACGATTCCCTTCTCCGACTTTCGAGCAAACTTAAGAAAAAACCGCCGGGATTAAATTAAATTACGCAGGTGCGCTTTCTTTCTCCGCCGTCGTGAAATGAATTCATAAACCGTGTTTCTCGATTTCCCTCAAGGAAAACGTTCGCCTCAATTCCATCCTCGACGATTATTTTGAAAGAACAACGAAACTTTCTTCCAACTTCCTTTTTTTCTTTCCTTGATCGAAGCGATCGACGATCGATTCGACGCTCTATTCTGATCGAGATGCAACAAATATCGATCGTTTCAATTCGATCAATTGTACGTTCTTATTTAATACAGATCCCGATTTGTTATCGTTCGAAAAAATGGCACGATCGGAAATAAACTCGATTTTTCAATTCGAATTTATCGTTCGAAAAGATGTGGCGCGATCGGAAATAAACCCAATTTTTCAATTCGATTAATTATATGTTTGTATTAATACAGATACCGATTTGTTATCGTTCGAAAAAACGCACGATCGGAATTAATTGTACGTTTGTATTAATACAGATACCGATTTGTTATCGTTCGAAAAAACGCACGATCGGAAATAAACCCGATTTTTCAATTAATTGTACGTTTGTATTAATACAGATACCGATTTGTTATCGTTCGAAAAAGTGGCACGATCGGAAATAAATCCGATTTTTAGATTATAATCTTAAAGGATTTGGAAGCGAAACATTCTAAAGGGTTGAGCAAACAGCGCGTGGAGGCAACGTAGCCCGCACGCACGCCACGACGTACATCGAGCTCGTGCGATCCTTGCGGCGCGACTTTTGGAACGCCCTCTATTTGTATTGCGACCACGTTGGACAAAGGCACGTTTCGGCGCCGTCTCGTCGCCTGTCTATTGATTGCAATTTGAGATAATGGGAGAGCGGGGAGCGCGCATGCATCCGAAAATGTGCGCCCCAACAGCTTCGAAATCCTCCTCCTCCCCCTCCTCCTCCCTTCCACGCCCCGATTCCTTCGGATTATCCTCCCTGTATGCGTGGCGCGCAGGTGTTTCCTCTCGCCTCGGCAGGAAACACGAGTCGATCTTCGAACGAAGAGAATCGGATCTTTTTTCCAATCTCCGGCTTCCAAGGAGATAGATCTCGATTCTTTCGTTGAAATCGGTGGAAAGCAATTGATTCGAACGTAAAGATTCTTCGAAGAGTTAAAGTTGAACGAGATTCTTCTGAATTGGAAAAAAATCTCGATCAATGAATGATTGAAAAAGTAGTTAGAGAGAGAGAGAGAGAGAGAGAGAGAAGAATAGTTAAAAATAGTTAAAATGATAGAAGAACTAAAAATTAATTAACTTTAAT